GAGTCCTTCGGAGCCGAAGTCGTGTTTTGACTGCTCCATTTCCATTCGTTCCGCAGCCGCCTGGCAATGCCAGCTATTGCATCCTGTCGCTTCAGTTGTGTGGCAGTAGCCGCTTTGTAAACATTTATCGTCGTTCACCCACCGCGTCGTCCTTGTTGTCGCCTCCTCCGTGTCTGTGCTACGAGTTTTCGTCAACGGCGTCATCGTTTTCCTGTCGGTCCACAGATCCTGCATCCACTTGTTTTTGCCATCCCGACGAGTCGGGTGTTGATACATTTTGGCCCGTAACTTTGACGAGCGTCAAAGAGAATTAAAGCCCCCGAAATCCCTACCACCCAACCATCTCAAGTGTTTGTGATTCCAGTGAAAGTTGTGCTTCAAAAATCCGCCAACATCTTACTTGATGGAAAGCAAAAGTATTTCGGAAAATGAAATTAATTACCAACTCATTTTAATAATACTGATTCGGAAAAGCTTATTACAACATTTTCCAAATGGAAAACATTCTTGCTTTGATTGCCGTTCTTGGTATTTCATTAATTTAATATTAAAGTTATTTTATGTTTTGCATTTTCATTTGACGTTGTTCTTTATTCTTGAGTTTGTTGTGCTGTTGGTTTAACTTAATTTAAAGCTTATAACAATTTTAGTATTTGCGTGTATGCCTGTGAAGAATAGTTAAACTGACAAAGTCATTCAGTTTTATACCGTTTCTCTTTTTTCTCAAGATAACTAAGCAATTTTGTGCAGCTTTCATGGTCGCTAAAATTGACCGCAATAAAACTAAACAATTTGTACTGAAACTTTAACTTCAAAGTGTTTTTAGTGTGCTACCAAAGTGTTACCAAATATTGCATGCTATTACTTTTCCAATCGAACTCCCACCTGTTAAACAGACATTACTCATACGCACGGTGTGCTTGAGTTTAAGTTAAATGCCGAAGTCCCCATAAAAATGACCTATGCTCCTGTCCACTTCTGAGGTCCTTTCTTCCTGTCCACACTGAACCTTTTAATGTTGTCCACCCATGGACTATGCTATGAGTTTTATGTGCGAGTGTGGCAACTGCTGATTCTCCCAGCCGCTACGGCCATTATTTCTTCCACTTCCGCAGCTTCCTTGGCCAGCATCTTAGTTTGTGTGGGAGGTGTGGGTGGTGTGTGTGCCCAGCTGTGCAATTGTTGACACCCACAGAACACATACATAACGCACACGTGCAAAGGGGCGCTTGTTTTTCGATACAGCTGCAGCTGCCGGCTTGAGCCGCTCCATTTGTGCAGCCAATCGCTACAGGCGGCGGCTTGTTATTTATACCCTAACCCAACCTGATGGAATATGGATTATTCTGGGCCATTTCAAGCCATGGAGCAGAGGTTATAGCATATAAAAGTGCACAATTTCTCAGCTCTGGATTCCAGCATCCCAGAGTATCACAAATTCGCAGAGTCTCGAATACAATTTCTTGTCTACACTTTCGGTTCGAATTTCCTGCCCACGGCTTCGTCCCGCGCGGTTGAGTTCATTACCCCTTTCTAGTTAGGAAAGAACAGCAGGCTTAGTGTGGGTGGGATAATATAATATTTAAGCGACAGAAATATTCACAAAAAGTCGATTTAAGCACGGTCTGCATCTGTTGTCTAAGCCAACTTTTCCTGGATATTTAAGTAAAGCATCAAAATTAACCGAAACCTTCGGAGCCTGCCCAAGGGAAACCAAGCCCGAAACCACTTATTGCCAAAGTTTCGGCAAGCTCCTTCATTTTATTATTGATTATTTTCAACCTTTATTTTCCACGCTTCATTTTGATACAATACACAGTTCAAGCCCCCTTACTCTGAACTTTGTTTTTGCAAGTGCTTTAAAACTCCTTATGCTGCGCTGACTTTTTACTAACTTCGATGGCGAAAACCAAGAGTTGAAAAGTGTGGTGACGATTAATACAAATTTATATTTTGCTCCTCTGTTTACTTAACAAAAAGCTGGGCTAAAACAAATAATAGAAATATAATATTTGTGTTAGCTTTCATCGATTATTTACTAATACGAAACCATATAAATATTTAAATATTATTTAATAAAATAAAATATTATTTAAAAGAATTGCTAATGATTCCCAATTGCATGTTTTTGGAGGATTAAATATCTTGATCATATATAAACCGTTCTTATTAAAATAAGATGTTAATAACTTTTTTAGATTGCCCATTTATTTGTTATACATATTTTCTTTGAAAAAAACTAGAAATAACCAAAATAACCAAAAATAATATATATACACATTCTTTGCTTTTGTCGTGCAATGATTTTATATTTTCTTCGAAAATCTCTTTGTGTCCCAGGACACAATTGCCAGGACATTTTGAGGGATTCTTTCTGGTTAAAGCTTTAGTTGTAGTGTGATCTAAGCTTGTTTTGGACTTTACAATATAGCAAATGTCGTCAAATCCATACACAGAACTAAGCATCCACAAACACAGACACTTATGGGCAAACTCAAAAAGCCACGGGCATTGCCTTCATAGTCTCGTCCTTTTTTTCCACTGTTGTCCTTTTATTTATCTCGCTTGCTCATTTTTTGTGTTTTTGTTTTGCATTTTCAACGAGGCCAAACCGCACACACGCACGCCCCCATGCAAATAACGCCACACACACATAGACATGGTGAATGAGAAGAAGACAAGGCGTGACAAGTGCAGGCTTCATCCGAACGTGCCCTCTGACCCCTCCCCCGCACCATATCCTGTCCCACCCCCTCCCTCCCTCCTAGTACAACCAAAAAGAGGAAAAACTTTAACTAGATGCATATATAAATTGCGTTCTATATATTTATGCCCTGACATATATGCAAATGCATCATGACTGCGTCATCGGAGTAGAGGAGTGGGGCAGTTGGCACAGCTTCTATTAAATATGCTTATTATGGCACATATGTATGTACTTAATATTTATTGTGTTCTTCGCGATGAGTTCAGATGAAGATAAAAGCAATTTAATTGAAAAATTCCACTTTTTATAAACAATAACGTTTTCTCAATTACCGGATTTAAAATGATACGAATGAAATTAGTTTATCTCGCTGTTGTTTTTCATATTTATCAGTTATAATTAAATTAATATGATTTATTCGTTCAGACTAATGTGCAGAAAAAACACAGTGGACTTTATTTTAAATATTCAAGCGAATTGCTCCCTGAATTTGGCTTGAACTACATTTATTTTAATAAATAAATATACACTACTTTTATTATTTTATTTTTATTGACCTAGCTATTTGAGTTAGGAATAAGAATTAACTTTTGATCAAAAGCTGTTGTTTTATATAGATAATCTTTATGCTCGGAATATCCCACCATCGCTTTAGCTGTTATTGTGTTTAAGATATCCTCTTCCATTCTCATCTGGTGTTTTTGATGTTTTCTCCCTGAGGCTTTTCCCCCATCTTAACTCACAGCATTCTCTTTTAGTTTTACTGTCTCCATTCGTTTTCCTTTCCATAAATAAAATAAATGTAGGTGAAAATATACATAAATAATGGGCACAAGCGCGGCTTTTTTATGAAGTGTTTGAATGTGCGAGTGTCAACCCAGGGCACTTGAAAGTGGGAGGAGGCGAGGGCGAGGGCGGGGGCGGGGGCGAGGGCGACGTCTGTGAAAATTATAAAACAGACGACGCAGCCATTCTGGCGGGGCAAAGATATGGCCTCTGAAGGTTGAGGTTCGCCCCCTGCTATGTAGGCGTGTGTAAATAGCAAAAACCTAGTCGGGCGTGCACAAGCAAAGTCATCATAGAATCTATACGAAGTGGAATATAGCTAAACAGAGGGAAATAAAGAGGAATAAAGGAAGATAGAAAGATAACGGAATAGAAGGCATGACAAATACGTTTTCTTTGCCTTTTTTTATATTATATGCCCCGAGGTACTGGGACGTATAAAGTTTGACCTCCAATCAATAAATCACATTAAATGGGGATTTCCGAAACATGGCAATGGGAAAAGATTACCAATAACTGGCCCATAATTGTTCATTGTCACATCATTGTCTGCCTTGGCTCCTTGTCTTACAAGCAATCATAATTTTTCCATCTCTAAATTAAGTTATATCTATTTACTCCAACCCCAAATGAACACTTCCCCTTTAATGGGTGAGAAGTAAACCTTTTTGTATCAGTTGGCTCTGGGTTTTCTCCGCTTTCCTCGCCATTTTCTTCTGGGCCAGTCAGGTCTCATCATCCGCTCGACTTTGTTTTGCTTGCGCTTTTTTCAGCTTTTGGCTTGATTTTCTTTTTGTCGCTTTAGCTAGGATCCTTTTACTCCGCGTTTGCCTTTTACTAACCCAGACAGCGCCCACATAGACATGTACATACATATATGTTTTTACAGCTGCCAAAAGGCTGCGCTTGGCTTCTTTGCGTCTTCTCGCAGCCAGTGTTTTGTTTTTGGCTTCGTCAGCCAACTTGGCTATTGACAGACCTTGCCACCTCGCGTTCATGTCCTTGCTAAAAACATTTCGCTTTCAACGTTCATTTTCAGGGAATAGCGAGGAGGGATGGGAAGGAAAAAAAATTGAAAGATATTTTCTGTGGCCTACACTGCGTGCCGAAAAGCCATAATTATCACGCGTTCACATGGCGTATACGAGATTTCGGTGTTTCCCTTTTAAACTCTTAACCAAAATTTATGTTTTTGCTGCTGCTAATTGTACATTTTGTTGTTCTTGCTGTTTATAATGTAAAATTTATTGTGTTTGTGCATGTTTATTATCGCCTCGCTGTTACGCGTCCTCACATGGATTCGTGCCACGCCCCCACGCCCTCACACCCTTAACCTTTTTAAACAATCCCTGTGTATTTATGTTTTACAGCGTCTGCAAAAAATATTATCAAAAGTAATAAATGAATAACAAAATACAAAACAAACGCCATCAATAATTCATGGAAAAAACAACACAAACAGAAATAACCAAAAATAAAAGCTTGCGGCGCGTCGTTCTTTAAATATTTTATAAATTAATTCTGCAAACAGCATAAGCGAAATTAAAAAATACAACAAAAACATCAGGAATTAATGTAGTGCCTAATGCAATGTGTAATAAAACCGAGTAGACAAGGAGGTGCAGCAGATCATTAAATACCCGCAAACACAGTTACAAGGAAAATATAAAATACAAATTTATATTTATTATTGAATAAATAAGCAGAGTAAATATCACATATGCTACCCGTGAAAACAAATTGAATTATACGGCAAATTAAATTATGAATGTTTGGCCATTAAAGTGCATACAACTTAATTGAGGGTTACAAAGTGGTAAGTAAAATTTAAATAGTTTTTGTGTATCAATATAACTATTAAAAATATTAAAATCTTAAAAAATTACAATATTGACAGATACAAAATATTGCACCAGTTCGTGGAAATAATTACAAAATAAATGGTGAAAATATATTTTTGTGCATGTCTTGTGTTTTTATGAAGTAAATAAAAATCTGTATTCATGGACTAACTGAGATTTCATGCACATAAAAGGGTGAAAAAACGCACTGATTAAATTTATTAAAATTTTAATAAATACTTCATAAGTAAATTCTTTAAGAAAGATTCTTCTTGTTTCCAAAATTTTAAGCTAAAATTAAGTATTTGTAAAATAAAAAGTTGGCTATGATTTATTGAAAATGGGGTGAGGGATAATAACTTAATCAAGTGCTAACCAAATATTTAAATGAAATAGAATAATAATCTCCATATTCGTAGTTTCCACTCTTAAATATTGCTTTATCAGCAGACTTTGCTGATGTAAAGATCTGTCTACCCTCATCCATCAACAAAAACTCCACCGCAAATGTCACATGCAAATTCTGTTCGCCTTGTAACGGAAGTGCAAGCAAAAAATAGCGAAAGATTTTTATACATAACTTTTTATGCTACTCATTGTTGGGGCAAAACTTGGCAGTCCCGGTGTGAGATGGTGCAGTTGCGTGGCGAGGTGAATGTGTATGTGCACGTTTTTGCATTTGCACCACTTTATTTCAATTTTATTCGCCATTTTCTTGCCTTGCGTGGGACATTTCCTGGGGACGAGACGCAGCAGTGACTTTTGCTCTGCAGCTGACTCGACTCCACTTTCCGCATTCCCTGCCCTCCTCATTACCCTCTTTACATTTCTAATTACACGCTCATTTTAAACTTGAAACATTTGCAAACGGAAGCGTGGGTCTGGAAGAGTCTGCGATTTTTCAGTAACAATTTTCCATTCCCCACACCACACCATCAGGTTGGAAAATTGTTTTTGGTCTCTGTTACAGTCCAGATTTTCCATGGAAGAACCCTAACTAAACGGCTGACCACAAATGTCTGGCATCGTCAGTGTCTGAATTCGAGACAGGTCTTGCATCGGATATTATTCCTTCGTCTTGGGTCCAGTGAACATTATTTGTTGGTTGTTATATGTGTCCTTTATTTTAATCTTTTTACTCCGTACCAATTTTTTGTATCCTTCTGAAAATAAAGAATGAAAATTGCTGGTTTATTTTTAATCATGCATCCACTTCTGTTTTTTAAGATCTTTAGCTTTCATAATTTTATTATTTCTAGTCTAATGAAATGATTGGAATCTACACAAAAAACAAAACTACTACAATTTTAGGAATAATGATCCAAAAGATGCGCCTAGCCCAAGTATTTAGGTGGAAGGATCTAAGAAATGAATCAAGACATTAGGTCGTTCCTCCCTTAACAGGGCTTAAGATCAACTTTAAGGTTATCATTCATAAATGTAAGGTCATTTCCATGTTTTTTTTAGCGTTCTTTGAGTGTAGTCAGGTCTTAAGTTCGAAACATTTAGTACATGCAAATGAGAACACATATTTAAATTAAAATAAGTTGGGGCGATTCTGTAAGTCGCTACAAATGTATTACCTCAGCTCTTTTTAAAATAACATTGAAAAAAAATTTTAAAAAAATTCACGACCCCAGACATACCCAATGCGTTTTCGTTTTGTTCAGTAGAAAGCCTAGTCAGGACTTTGCAAAAATTAAAACAATGTTGCATGTCCTTTGTGCATGTAACGGAGCATTTGCTGCGCTTGTAAATGTGGGGGAGGATGAGACGACCACCTTTCACTGGACTGCGCGTTGTTTAACTTGTGTGTTAATTTCCATATTACGTGCTGGCCAGGGATTTATCAATAGGATTTATACATTCGCCATAATTTCCGTTTTTTTCCTCCAAGTAAGTAGCTAAATAATTGCAGTAATTTGCAGCACCAATTGGGAAAGGAATCACAAGCAAGCTAACCAGATTGGGCAAAAATTTGGTTGTTGCTTTTGTAATCTATTTTTTAAAATTCATTTGTTAATAGAATTTAAAAATTAAACGATGCTTATGAATTGTTTGGTACTTAGCTAACATATTTGCAAAGATAAGCGCTTTATCTACAATAAGTTGTAGAATCTTTTATATATCTTAACATTGTTTAAGAAACCTGTTGTTTGCGAAAGGCGCTTTTTTCCTGAAAATTTCCAGGTCAAGCTTTGGATATTCTTTAGATCATAATGGTTTCCTTTAAATTTTCTATTGTTCATTTTTCTGTCAGCCAGTCAGACTGCCTGGACATCTGAAACTCAACTCGGCAGACCGAGAACAAATTCTCGATGCTCTTTGTCTTTATGTTGTGAGGTTTGTTTGATTTGTATGTGAAATATGCAGCCGTTGACCTTCCGTTGTCAGTTGACCTTTTGGGGTAACTTTAACGGGGGAAAAGAGTCAAACACTCACTGGAACTATTTCATGTAGCATTTATAATATTTTTTGACCCCCTTGACATCTTCATGTTTGCAAATATGCAAAATAAATTCTAATATTTTCTTTTTGTACCATAATTGAAATATTGCTCATCCGCAGCATGTGACCATTTATTGAAGATGTAGAACTCATGCCAAGATAGTCCATACCAAGTCAGGCCAATGTGGGATGCATTTAAAAGACATAAATCATAAAGCCATAAAGTAGATAAACTCTCAGCATGGAACCATTTTCTTCAGCTATCGAGTTGGGAGAGAAAATCAATTTTCTTGTTTGTAAAAATAAATTGGCATATTATTAAATACAAATTAACAAAGAGGCGGCACAAGTAATAAACAAATTATCCTATAAAAATAAAATATATTTATGAAAAAGAAATTTTTGTTAAATAAGTAAAACTAGTCATAAGCTATATCTTTAAACAAACGACTTTCCTTTTTTTTTACGTTTTCACAAACTTTCCCCTTTTGTTTTGTTTTGTTGTCCCAAATTCTGCTGGTGCTTAACTCGTAAAAGTTTAAGTTGCAAATCGAGTTTTAATGATTTCTTCGCTTCTAAATTTACTACTTTAAGCCTGACGAATAAGCTGACATAAATAGTGCGGTGGACTAAAGGTTTGAGAACGCATATTTTAAGCCATTATACACATTTTTCCCGGTTACCGGTTACCGATTACCATTTTACTTAATGGAAAACCGGTTTAAAAATACAGAACTATTTTCATTTGGAATACCAACACTACAAGAGTGCTAGGTACAATTAAAACCGCTTTAAAGAAAACAAACTTTAGAGTTGCTATCAACTACAGATTTCGTTGTTGGTATTGCCAATTTAAGCGAAAATTTAATTGGAATTTGCAATGAATATTTGAACAAACGTACACAGACCAGAGTGTGGTAAGCGAGCAGTGGTAATGGGATCGAAACGGGAGGATGGGATAGGCTGCATAAAATGAACACAAGTGTTGAGCAAAGTGAATGCGTAATGCGTTTTTGCACCCAGAACAGAACAGGACGACCGAAAAAAGTCGGACGCTGTCAGTCACCCAGGTCCGTTATTTTCAGTCCCTCGGCATCCCGTTGAGTTGTTTCCCATGCTATATGCGGTTTTCCTTTGATATCCTAACAAAAAGGATGAACCTGTCACGAAAAGGATTTGCGGTTCCATAGAAATATTAAGCCTGTATGAGAGTTGTTACCTTACATGATGATATCTGTCCTAACATTAATTTAATGTACATCAGGCTTAAATAGTTTTAGCCTGTGGTCTACAGAAAACTCTGCCAACTGAATTCATACCAAAAGTCGATACAGATTTGATTGAAATTCTGTTAAAAGATCTGTCTGTATCATCCCAAATATTTTTGTGTATTTTACAATCGGAAACAAAAACTCAATGTTATATATTTTTTTAAGTTAAATCAGCAAAATATAAATATAAATGAATGTATGTACATTTTTCAAAAGTACTCCCTTATAATCTAGTTGAAAGGCAAAGCCTTTAATTATGAATGGCTTGTCAAACTCCGAATGAAACTATTGAAAACATGTTCGAAAGGTATCGGAAAATGTGCAGCACTCCCCAAAACGAATCCATTCTTCGCTGCTGACCTCTTTGGATCGAAAGGCAGTTGCAAAGGGTTTGATTTTTCGCTACTTTTCCATGGAGCGTGACAACCACGTAGGCCTTCACGCTTCTCCCGCTTCCGCCCTTCTGTCACATGTGAAATTGGGCGGCTGACATGTTTGGCGCTGTTTTTTCCTTTTCCATTGCTCATGTTAGAGTAGGTAATTTTTTAATGCATTTAAACGGCTGTCAAGTGGCCCACACACGCCACTTCGCTTCTGAAACCTCTCTTCATTGCCATTCTACCCCCTCTTAGCCCCTCTGCCCCCTTTGTTAGCAGTTTTGCAAAGTGACGCGACGCGAGCAGTTGCCCAAAAATATGCAAAAACCCGCGAGCACTTACGACAAGCTCGTTTCAACGGCAGGAGGACTATATCAGGTCGCGGTCCTCGACAGCAAAGCAGAATTTAGACATTCGGCCTACAGTTTTGTGTTCAGTTTTCATGCACCGAAAAGTGAAACCAAATAAAAAGTATTCCTTTTTTTATGAAATGGGTTAGAGTCGGTGGGAAAAACGACCATAGTGAGTTGGTTTCTTAATATGCACTTTGCATTTTTCTAACATGTACGGGGAACATACCTAAGTTATCAAAATCAGCTTGGGCCAAAACCATTAGTTAAATGACCTTTAACCTGATTGAAAACATATCAATGGGAATAATACACATGTTTTATGGCAGAACATCTAGGATTCGTTGTAAAACCTCCTATTATTTCCCTTTGTTTTGAGCACTCACAACGTTGGCTTGCTTGTCGGAGCAGAGTCAAGTAGAGGACATACAAAATTGAAATAAAGTACAACAAGAAAGGAAAGCTAACTTCGGACGGAGCCGAAGTTGATATACCCTTGCAGAATATTCTGTAAATTATATTCTTCAAA